AGAACTGTATTGCACTGTCTCGTGGAGTTCTTTGGGCTGAACCTGACAATGCCTTTGCCATTGTCACTAAGTGGATCCTCTGCCTCCAGCATCTTCCTACATCGCTGCTGCCCAGTGCAGGTGCCTGCTTGCTTTAGTGGGCAGCTGGGATGACTGTTACACCTTGGTGACTCTGCTGGGAATATATACTCTTGGCCTATACTCCCGACATTCTTCGCTTATCCCTCCCAGTAGCACCTACCCCCCCCCCCCCCCGCCATGATGAGGGAGCACAGCAGGACCTGGGAGGGCATCTCTCTGGAGAAGGCTCTTGCAGCAAGTTGGAAAACCTGAAAACTAGTTTAGGGACAGACCGTCATGGAGAAAATCTATCTATGTGGTCACTAAGTTGGCATCAACTTGATGGTGCAAGTCAAGATTCTTCTGAACCCTCTCCAGCTTCTTCGTGGTTCTCAAACTGCAGTTATACTTCCCAAACTTGCTAATGTCAGGCCAAACTCACAGTCCTGTACCTATGCATTTAATTTTTATTTATTGTTTAGAGTGTTTTTATATGACTTCAGTCATCTAAGTGAATTTTTCCTATCTAGATGCAGAACCTCACACTTGTCACTCTTGAAGATCATCCTGTTAGGATGTGTTCCAGTGTTCAGTCCTATCAAGGTCATTTTGAACTGTCATTTTATTGTCTAAGGTTTTAGCCACCCCCTAGCTTGATAGCATCTGAAAAATTAATAAGCATCCTTTCCATTCAGCCACCTAAATCATTTATAAAACAGTGAATGGCTTAGCTCTGAGGATGGAGCTCTCAGTATTCAGCTGATGCAGAATCATGTACAAGTACTCTGGGTATGATTGTTCAACCAGTTGCAAATCAACTGCACTACACTATGCTGTAACCTGAATTTATCTTATCTTGTCCACAAGGATATCATGAGAGACCTTGACAAATGTTCTACAGAGATGGCATGTCCTCATCACCTAGCAGTTGGACTGTTGCAATGTGCTCTACAAAGGGCTACCCTTGAAGACCATTTGAAAGCTACTTCTGGTCCTTAATGCAGCGGTGCAGGCAGTTGATGGGCATGCCTCAATATGCCCATGGGTCTTCACCGCTCTGCAAGCTTCACTTGTTGCCATTGAACTGGATGCAATTCCAGGTGCTGGTTATCACTTATAAAGCTCTACATGGCAAAGGGTTTGGTTATTTGAGGAACTGCCAATCCATGCTTTCTATCCATCTGGTAAGATCAGGCAGGAGTGGTGCACTACACATTCCATCGAGCAGCAACCAGGAAGCATGCCTTCTGGAATAGCATCCCTCTAGAAATCAGTGTGGCTCCCACCTAATGGTGTTCTGGAAGTCTTTAAAAACCGGGTTGTTGAGCCCTGTTGGATGTATTTTGTGAGGTATTTGGAATTTGTGTCCAGTTAGGTATATTTTTCTTGTTTAGTATTTTTTTTTTATTCTTTATAGTGTAAGCTGCCCAAAGTTGTTCTGGAATCAAGCAGCCTTAAATCTAATAAATAAATATAAATGAATAAATAAATCCCCCAACTCCAGATCACATTGCTACTGCTGTGAGACCCAAATCAACTTTGTGAGTTGAGTCCTCAATAATCTGGATATGGTCTATGGCTGTCATGGTGTCCATGAATTTCCAAGCTGCCTCCAATTCCTGGCCCAGGGAAGGCAAATTGATGTCCCCCAGTACCATAAGTCTGGGAACTCTACTGCCAGTCCAGCCACAGTATCAAACAGCTCTGGCAGGGAGGTTGCTATATATCAAGGAGGGTAGCATGATAGTGGATAAGTTTGTTTTTGTTGATCCCTGTGGCAATGAAAGTTCTGTCCGTTGTCATGGAGGCTTACAATAATAGAACTATCTCAGGTGTTAAAAAATTCTTCCTGGTTCATCCATTCTTTCTTGCCATCTGTCTCTAAGGAGTTACTACTCCCATTGGGGTGCCTTTTGGAGTCTTCCTCCACTGCTCTGGTAACTTTCTGTGCTCTGTCCTCAGAGGTCTCGTTCTGCTAACCTTCCCAGAGAGCTCTCTGCTTTTCCCCTTCTCCAGTGAACGTTATATAAGAAAAGCTAGCATCTGGTCCTTTCAGCTTCTCCTCTAGCAAGGAGAGAAGCTTATACTTAGAAGAGGTGTAATTAGCACATTCTTCAGGTAAAAAGATGAATACAACACAAGCCAGGTCCCTCTTTACCACATTCCAATAGAGACTAAGGTCAGTTTGTTTTTCCCCTACAAAACTCCTCTCTTCCTCTTTGCTCTCCATAGTTAGCAAGATCACAGCTGACTGTTTTCTAAATAGTGCTGGTTGAATTTTTTTTCCAAAGAATAACATATTTCAAATATGTAACCATTTTAATTCTAAATATGAAATATTTTAATCGACTATTTTATGAATAATGCAGTATGTTCAAATTTTCCCAGGGATTGGGTTCATAATAATCCATAAAAATGCGATAAGCTGTTATAATCAATTGTCTTAGCTACTGTTACTAAAATAGCATTGTAGTCATATTTCTATACTAAAGGGTATAAATTCATCCCAGCTGCACTCCAAGTGTATTCAGCTTGTTATTTCATGCTCAGGCCCATTTGGTTCTTTTGGTCCTCTAGAAGGAATTCAGACCAAGTTTCATGTCTCGTGCTGTGTCTCAAAGGTGGTTCTTCACCATGAGGTTGGCATCGGTAGGACTGAAGCCAATGCCTGATTATACATTTTCACAAATGGGGCCAAAATATACTTGCCCCTTTAAGTCTGACATTGCAAATAATTACGTCAGATTATAGTCCCTAAATATAGGAGGCCATTCTTGGCTGGATTTGATGCCTTTCCTACTGCAGTCCTAGGATTTGTTTGTTTATTTAATGGATTTACAAGGCTGCCCAATTCAAACAACATGACTCTGGGCAGCATACCATAAAAACAGCAAGCCCCCCCCAAAAAACCCACTCCCCCAAACCCCACACAACGTTAAAAAAGCAACCCAATATATAGAATATAAAATGGCAGCCAAACATGATAATTAAACAGCAAAAGGGGGTTCCACTCAATCACCCAAATGCCTGGGCTTTACCCATGTGGTGAAGGGGCTATTGAAACAAACACATTTCATTATATTGCCAATTTTATACTGGCAGAGCCAATAACCCCCACGTGAGCAAAATTTATGGCCATTCTGATCAGTTTTATTTACAGTTTTTATTTTCAGATATTTGTGGCTGCAGTACTCTAAATGTGGCTAAATTCTGCTACATTATATGTAAAATGTGTGGCCAAACAGGCTTTCGTTCATTGGTATTTGGGACCATTGCCCGATAGAATGTCATCTGAAGCTGAGCAGGTTTATCAGTCTGCAAGGAAAATGTAACTGTCTTTTCTTAATCAGGTTCTTGATGCTACCAAACGGTTAGGATGTGAAGAAATGGGAGGCTATGACCCTCTGAAGGCCCATCCCTTTTTCGATTTCATTACCTGGGAAAATCTGCATCATCAAACACCGCCCAAGCTCACAGCCTACTTGCCTGCCATGTCAGAAGATGATGAAGATTGCTATGGGAATGTAAGTGCCAGGATGGATGGTGATATGAAGGTTAATCAGATTCCAAGAAACATTGATTTCCTCCATAGAGTTAAGTGCCTGGATCAGCTTTGGTGCATCCACTGGGTCTCCACAGCATTCATGCTTGCCCCATAGTCCCCATCCTTTGTGTCCATTACAGCATTTACTTTGGTCCATCATCCTCCAAGACTGGCCTTGCATTCCTAAAGAGAATAAATATAATGGGTGTGAAAAATGTGTTTTGCTTTGGGTATAAAACAAAGACATCACTTGGACCTTTCTGGGTGGGATTACAGTATGGCTCAGCTGAACCCTGGAACACTGTGCTAGCTCTGGGCTTCATCAGAAACAATATCTGGAGGGATCAGTAGGACCAGGCTGGTGCCTCTCTCCACTTTCCCCCCTCTCCTCATCCTTGTTACTTGTGTGCCAGCCTACCTGCCAATATTCTCAGCACTTTTCTTACTCCTCCAGCTCCTGCCAAGCTTGAATTCAAGTACAGTGTATCTGACCAGCTCCCCACCTCCACCTTCCAGTCTTTCCTGTACCTTCCTTTCCTTTATCTCCCCTTGGCCACCTTGCACTGCTGCCTATGGTGGGGCCTTATTTCCACATTTTCCACCCTGGCACAGGTGTTCTGGGCCCAGGCAGACATTTTCTAGACATTTTTTCGGGGGGAGTGTCTTTGAGTCAGTGTTGACTCTTAGCAACTGCCTGGAGTGCCCTGCAGTTTTCTTGGCAAGATCTTAGGAAGTGGTTTGCCCTTGCCTTCCTCCCAGGGCTGACAGAAAGGGACTAGCCCAAAGTCGCCCAGCTGGCTTCATGCCTAAGGCGGGACTGGAACTCACAGTCTCCCCATTTCTAGCCTCCTGCTTAACCATGGCACCAAACTGGCTCTCTTTCTGGACATAAACCACCCAAATCTGGCTATTCTTTACAGAGAATGGTCCACACAGAGAATATCTTGCAGTTCCAGCTCTAGCTCTCAGTTTTACAGTTCCTTTCTGTGAAAGTCTTCCTTTTGCTTAAGCAGATAGCGTGAAAAGAGGCAGCATGAGGTGTTCCTTAGCTAAAGGCAGAGTGCTCCTTATTGGCCCTGCAATCTCATCTGTCTCAGCTTCTCTGTACACAGATAATGTTTTTAAAACACAAAGTGCTAAATAGTTCTTTTATTTTGTAGTATGACAACCTTCTGAGTCAATTCGGCTGCATGCAAGTTTCCAGCTCAACCTCTTCTCAGTCACTATCTTCCCCAGAAATGTGTCCCTTGCAGACTTCTGGAAACAACATAGAACAATACATTCACGACCTTGACAGCAATTCCTTTGAGCTGGACCTCCAGTTCTCTGAAGAGGAGAAAAGGTTGCTGTTGGCAAAACAGGCTGGTGGGAACCCTTGGTAAGCCTAGATATGTTCCCATAGAACTTCTTACTCAGGTAGCCTCTTGAGTACAGAGGAGGGTGGTGGAGGAGTAAAGAGTGGGGGTGGGGTTAAAAACAAACAATACAGTATTTAAGATCAAACCAGAGAGAGAACATAACTAACATTAAATGAAATAATTGCTCAGATGGGAGGAAGAAGGGCTTGCTTCCTACCACATGGAAGCAATTTTCTTTGCACGTGTTTTCTCTAGCTGAGAAAACTTATTCAGTGGGTTTGGAGTATCTGCTGCTATTCTTGAAGTGCACAAAGAGAAGACAAGACTTTCTTAGGAGTTGTCAGTTGTATAAGGAAAAACCACTAAGCATCATTGCACAAAATTCTAGCAAGCAGAAGAAACTTCCTCTAGAAATCAAGGAACTTGTAGCCATCCAGAAGATTATAAGTAATGGTCTGACTATTGGCCATGTATGGAGGTCCACAAGTTGCCCATCCCTGCTTTAAGCACTCCAGGCTTTCAGAATGAAGAGGCTGAGGTAAGCATAAGCAGATTTGATGCTTCTGCTTCAAATGTTATTCCAAAAAGAAAATTGAATACTTATTGTTGCAGTCATACATGTCCACTTAGTCGTGAGGATGGAGGTTCTCAGATTTTCAAGAGATGGACTCAGAAAGTTCAATTAATTAAACTTTAAGAATCCAGTCAATTTCTGACTCAGAATGGCTGTGAATGTTGTTCGGATTGTTTTTTCTTGGCTCATGAAAATTGTGTGAAGTGTTGGATAGCACTGGTACTCTGTGTATGTCTGAAGATACATACTTTTATAAATAAAAGATATGGGCCGCTCTGGCTGTTGTCCCAAATGCTGATGTTCCTCTTCTAGTTCTCAGAGGAATTGTACTGTTTGATGAGGCAAGTTGAGGTGGCTCAAAGGTAGGATGATGGAAATAATATGCAGTGTTGTTTTCTCTTTAGGCACCAGTTTGTAGAAAACAATTTAATACTGAAAATGGGGCCAGTAGACAAGAGAAAGGTAAGTTACTTGATCCTATTGCTTGAAATGCCTTCTGGGAACATAGCACAGGAAACCAAAAAAGTTAAGAAAGTGGAATCCAGATGTATCAGAATATTCAGTTCAGGGAGAGAGAAAGTGGGGAGGCCTTTGGGAAATCATGGTAACAGCTCCTCTGCGGCAAAGGAGGACTGCTTTTGTTAGGGAAAATGTCACCTGAAAGAGAAAGGCGAAGATGAGTCCTTGGGGAGTGACACTAAGCAAGGGTCACAGCCGTATGTGATTTAATCACTGAAAATGGGAACACATTGATTTATGATGAGTATATAATAATAATGAGTATATAATAGTGGTAAATTGCCTGCTGGTGAAAGTAGTAAAGTTATAGAAGTATTGGAATAGAGTTAGCAATTGTAGTGCCTGTTTGCACCAGAGATATGAGGAGGCTCTGGAACATGCGTTACGTTACTTTACCTTTTGGTGAAAAGTGAGGACTTAGGAAAGGCTGCCTGCCCAACATGCAGAACTGGCTAGATAAGCAGCCCAAGGAAGAGACAGAGGGTTTTGTGATGGAATGTATCTACGAAGAGGAGGAGGATGTGGTGGATAGCAGCAGAGATCAAGGCTATCCGGAAGGATGGGGTGCATTCCAGGAAGGGAAAGGAGACAAAAGACAACACAGTCCAGAGCAGGAGTGTGGGAAGCATAAGAGGTTCAGGATAGTCACTCCCCAGAATCTCCCAGGGTATATTCACTAGTTGCAATAGTACAGATTTAGTCTGGCAAGATTCTGTCTATATGGTGAAAGCAAATAAAGGAACTCAACTGGACTGTTTCACCGTTGTTCTTGGGCTGAGCTTGACAAGTTTAGATCTGTTAGATGTGGGGACCTCTTGGCTAAAACAGGCTGCACAAAATTGACCAGCTCAGTTTGAACTAGACTACTGGTGCCACCAAAAAGTGGCAATATAACTTTTAAATGGTTCCCTGAGGGAATGCTGACAGGGATTATAAAGCATTCTGTTTAGCAAAAGCTTTCTAGAGGATGCAGATGACTGTCCATGCACAACTGCCATGTTCTGTTGTATCAACAGTAGAACATGTTACTCAGTTTAAAAAGGCAAAATGCATAATCCAAAGGCATTTTGAACAGAATACCGCACAGGGATTCCTATGTTTATACACAAATCCCTCATTGTGAAATGGGGGGACTAGTAATATTTAGGTTTCAAGGAGGACATAGGCATTACAGGTGCAGGGAAATCCTGGTAGAAAAGGGTGTAAATAACTCTGGATACAAATTATATAGGAAAAGCAAGGAAATTTGCATTGTGATGCTTGGTAAGTTATCAAACAATAAGAGATGCAACGAAGTATTTTGAGGAGCGAATTTGTAATAATTTTAAGATCAGCAATAGAGAATTCATTTATATCAGAAGCAGAAAACTGGCCTATTGACAGAAGAGTTAAAGGAGGATAAGTAGATTGAAAAGATCTGAACAGATAGACCTTGCACCATAAAATCCATTTTTGCCATTTGGAGTTCTTTGTTTTCTTTTAGATTTTTAAAATTTCTATTGTCTGCCAACTTGATCATCTTGCCATGGTGTGCAGTCTGCAGCAGCTGAGCTAAGTCAAAAACTGGGCAACCATGTTGGGACTTCACCATGTAATCCCAGTGCCTTTTATATGGAACAGTTAGGAATGGGATGAATAACTTGTTCTGGCGATTTTTGAAAGAGTGGAACTGTGCTCTGAAAGTTCTCTGTGTCACCGCAGCCTCAGGATGTCTTTGTTTGGCTACTTCTAATAGTCTGATGAGTTCTAGATGGCAAAGTCTTCGAAAACTGTCACGGCTGCGAAAAGCAAATCCTGAAAGAGCTGCATCAATTGCATATTCAGATTCTTGGCTTGACCTTTTGATATGTCAGTGGGTTAGCAGCAGGCATGGTTAATTATTACAGGCACTGTAACAAAAAATGGATTACTAGCTATAAAAACTGTGTTTCAGTTGCACTTAGATGCATGGATATCTGTAACAATAATAACAATAATAATTTGTTAGACATATAGCCACCAAATCAGAGAGATTCAAGGGAGCTTATATTAAGAACTCAGTGAAAACAAACAAAATGCAGGAGGTACAAAAAGTTAAATGACTCTATAGGAAGAATGTAAAAAAAGTTTCAACAATTGCTCATCAGTCATCATTCAGGATCACAAAACACCTTGGCCCATGTCCTGTTTAAAAAGCCAGGTTTTCAGGGCTTTCCATAGCAGAGCAGGGATGGGGCTGAACGGCCCTCTGTGTCAGAGTCTGCACACTCAATCCCAAAGTTCAGTAAATCCTCTGGAGACAAAAAGTTCCATCAGAGATTT